TTATACATATCTTGGTTATGCTGTCATTTGAATGTTACTTATGTTGTGAGTGTTATGGGTGAGTGAGTGTGCACCAGTGGTTAGGTAAGGGCTAGTATAGAGCTGATCTTCTGTGGTTGGGTAAATTGAGATGGTAAGGGTTCTCTTAGTGTGTTGACGAATGGAGGAGTTGAGTAGGTTGGAAGGTGGTGGTAAAATTGGTAAGGTTCAAAAGTATTTTCATATTTTATTTGAGTTTTGAATTTATTTTATTAGGTTAGAGTGTGCTCACTGTATGTCATTTACAGATGCAGTAAAACAAGAAATGGAACCAAAACCTCAGACCATGGGACAATACCTAGGGGAGGCGAGTTAACAGAATAATGGGCATATTTTAATTTACACTAGATGTCCATTCATTCTATTTCTCTATAGTAAATAGCAATTTCATTTTTTTTGCTCATTTGTTACTTTGAAATGTTTGATTGTAAAGCAAAGTGTGAAGATTGGTTTAGTCAAACTTGATGAATTTAATGCACAGGGAACATTTAGATTTGGATGAATTCATGAATAGAAATAAATGGAGTATGAGTGGAATTTGTGTGTTACGAAACACCTAGAAGTGTTACACTAACATTCGGGTTTTATTGAAATTGTGCTCCATTGGTCTTTTTATGTTTTGTACAACCATTTGATTTTCTGTATCAGTGGTAAGATGTTGATATTCTTACTGAGTTAATATAGCTCACCCGTTTCTTATTAATCATTTCATATCAGGACGATCAAGACTCGGATCCTGAATAGCAAGAAACCAGCTAAAGAATTATCTCTTCTGCTTCATTAATTTTGAATAGAGGTTAATCATATTTATTGTTAATATTTTTTCCGTTTAAGTTCCAAAACATTCTCATAACCTCTATTTGAACGTTTTAAATAAACGTATAAAGAACATAATTTTAAAATTTTAAATGTTTCTGCTGAATAAAATTTTTTTAATATTGTTTATTTTATTTTTATTAGGTTATAAACTCAAAATTCCGAATAGAAGTTTGGACCTCTACATAATTACTATTAATAAAAAAAATAAATAAATTTGTAATGTTGAGTAAATTAGCTATAACCAATACATTTAATATTGATTTAATTTTTTAATAATAATTTATATATTTTACTTGTGTACTAAAAATATTACAATAAAACTTTTAATAAAAGGGGACACAATATTATAATCGGAATTAAGTTTATATCCTCATAAAAGTATTAAAATGAATAATTGTGATTTGATAAAATTTAAAACATAAAACAATTGCAATGATTTGAGTGGCTTTGGGCCACCGTGGCTTAGTTAGATAGATGTCAGCCACAATTTACATAATTCCAAATTGCTACGGGTTTGTCCTGTTCCTGTTTCTTATTACAATATAAGAAACTCTTGTTCTCCACCATGCATTCTTTATTTTCCTACTTTTAATTATTAATATACTATTTTTCTTTCTAAATAATAATTTTTTAATTAAAAAATAATGTCTGAAATTTATTCAATAACACACACAACATAATAATAATTTATAACAAGTTCGACTTAAATTTATAATATTATATATATATATATATAAAGGAAAATAACCACCATAGTTAAAGTAATGTATTGTACCGTACCAAGCTGTGAAGTAGGGAATTTCCCACTAAAAAAATAGAGAGAGATGAATAACAACACTGCACGTGAATAACATCAACAGATTCCAGAACAGAACTACATGCAGTCAAATCCAATCAAAACCACACATCTATTTTCTCAGTCATTTTAACCTCACTGCAAACTATCAACCAAAATTTAAAAATTCAAGAAACAACAGAGAGAAAGGAATAAAATAAAAGTAGCAGTATCAGTACTTAATTGGCAGTATACAAGTTTCAGGTTAAGAAATTGAGAGAAGAAGAGAGAAAAAAAAAAAAAGAAGAAGAAGAAGAAACAGAGAGCTTCTTCAATGAAGAAACAAGGTTGTGAGATAGAAGCAATAGGTATCAGCTACAAGGTCAAAACACAAAAAAGAGATAACCCTTTTAAATTCTTTACCACCCAAAAGCAGCAACAAGTAGAAGTCATCGATCAAAAATCTGACAAACAACCATCAAAGCTTGAAGAAACAAGTACTGGAATCCGCCATGTACTTAAGAACGTGAGTTGCACAGCAAAGCCATGGGAGATTCTCGCCATTGTTGGTCCAAGCGGAGCAGGAAAATCTTCCCTTCTTGAGGTTCTTGCAGGAAAACTCGCTCCACAAGCTGGCTCCATTTTTGTGAACCAAGAACCTATTGACAAAGCCCGGTTCAAGAAAATCTCTGGCTATGTCACCCAAAAGGACACCCTCTTTCCCCTCCTTACAGTTGAAGAAACACTCATGTTTAGTGCCAGGCTGCGTTTAAGGCAGCCTCTAGCTGAACTGAGGTCCAGGGTTAAGTCCCTGGTCCAGGAACTAGGACTAGAGCATGTAGCCATGACTCGGGTTGGTGATGACAGGGTTCGAGGGATATCCGGTGGAGAGAGGCGTCGTGTTTCCATAGGAGTTGACGTCATTCACGACCCTAAAGTGTTGATTCTTGACGAACCAACTTCAGGTCTTGATAGCACATCTGCTTTGCAAATCATTGACATGCTTAAGGTCATGGCTGAAACCAGGGGAAGAACCATAATCCTAAGCATCCACCAGCCCGGTTTCCGTATAGTGAAGCTTTTCAATTCCATTCTTTTGCTGGCTGATGGCTCAGTTTTACATCATGGCACGATGGACCAGCTTGGCGTTAGCTTGAGGTCCATGGGTTTGCAGCTTCCGCTGCATGTAAATGTTGTTGAGTTTGCCATAGAGTCCATCGAAACCTTTCAACGACAAAAACAGATGCAGCAAGAAATGCAATCTCACGTGCCAGCAGCACCAGTGCAACACAAGAAAGGAGAAGGTGAGACTAGAAGCGGTAAGTTTACTCTGCAACAGCTCTTCCAACAATCTAAAGTTGTTGATGAAGAACTCATCAAGGGGATTGATATCCCAAGTGATTTTGCCAATTCAAGATTGCAAGAAACCATAATCCTCACTTATAGGTTCTCAAAAAATATATTTAGAACCAGGGAGCTATTCGCCTGCAGGACAATTCAAATGTTGATTTCTGGTTTGGTGTTGGGCTCCATTTTCTACAATCTTAAACATGATCTTATTGGAGCTGAGGAAAGGGTAGGTCTATTTGCTTTCATATTGACTTTCTTGTTGTCTTGCACAACAGAAGCTCTGCCAATTTTTTTGCAAGAAAGGGAGATTTTGATGAAGGAGACTTCTTGTGGAAGTTACAGAGTCTCTTCGTATGCCATAGCCAATGGACTTGTCTACTTGCCATTTCTGCTCATCCTGGCAATCTTGTTCACAATTCCTTTATACTGGATGGTGGGGCTAAACCCAAATTTCATGGCATTTCTGCATTTTTTATTACTAATTTGGTTGATTCTCTACACAGCAAATTCGGTTGTGGTTTGTTTTAGTGCTTTGGTGCCTAATTTCATTGTCGGAAACTCAGTGATCTCGGGTGTGATGGGGTCCTTCTTTTTGTTCTCAGGCTACTTCATATCAAAGCATGGGATACCAAGTTACTGGATATTCATGCATTATGTATCTTTGTTCAAGTATCCATTTGAGGGGTTTCTGATCAATGAGTTTTCCAAGTCAGGTAAATGCTTGGAGTACATGTTTGGATCATGCATAGTTACTGGGGAGGATGTGCTAAGAGAAGAGGGATATGGAGAAGAAAGTAGGTGGAGAAATGTGGTAATCATGATTTGTTTCATTTTTGTTTACAGGTTCATTTCTTATGTCATTCTCAGATTTAGGTGCTCTAAAAGAAGTTTTAGAGCAGCCCTTGCTTAAAGGATATAATAAAAGCTCTCTCTCAGTCTCTCTCTCTCTCTCTCACGTGTATGTTAACAAGATGGTTCACATGTTTTTTGGAATTTACTTGAGACAGTAGGCAAAAGAGGAAATAACAGATTAATAAAGAAGGAAACGAGATGTCTTATCTACCAACAATATGATCCCTTTCTTCCTCTCTCTATCTCTTCGGCGCCCCCTGAAAGGGCCCCCATCAAGTTACAGCGTCTTATTTGTTTGACTGTATGCGTAAGAGCATGATAGCATACAAATTTTGCCAGGGTAGATTACGGTGGAGGCAGAAATTAAGCTGCCAATATCCAGTTAGATATTTTACTCTTGAAGTTGAATTGTGTGCAAAATCAGTAACTGGCCAGCTATCATCAAGCCAAGAGGGCATGTGATAACTGAACGTGGCAAGATGTATTTTACAGAGCTAGGTCACATGCCTTCTCAGCTTGATGATAACCGCCGCAATCAACGTGCTAGTGTTTGGCCATGTCTTGTTTAAGTGCATCAAGGATAAAGTTTTGGCTATAAATCACTAGCTTCCTTAAATTTCTTCCTCTATTCATTTCATGAAAGGAAAGGATTTATCAAAGGTTGTTAAATGAGAAAATAATAAATAGAGCACTGAAACAATTCCCAGAAAATTACCCGACATCAGCATCATCCGGAAAATTCATCTTGTGATGTAAAATTGACACAATTTCAGAGTGCTCTTCCCAAGCCTCATGATCATCAGCATCAGGGACATACCCTGCTAGTTTCATCTGTTTTGTAAGTGTTTTCAACAGTGAATATATGGCTTTCGTAAGAGGATGCCTCTTATCTTTCACCATGAAAGTATTTAATTTACCCTGTTTTTCAATCCAACTACAGCCTGGCTGTTTGACAACTCCTCGTTTCCTCATTAATTTCCTTACTTTCACAACATCTGCCCACTTACCAAGCTCTGCATACATGTTAGAAAGAAGAACATAAGGTCCAGAGTTGGTAGGATCTATTTCTAAGAGCTTCTCTGCCACAAACTTCCCTAATGTTAGATTCCGATGAATTTTACAAGCAGCAAGCAAAGAGCCCCATACAACAGCATCAGGCTGCATTGGCATGGTCTCTATCAAATTCTTTGCTTCAATAAGGCATCCAGCCCGACCAAGTAAATCAACCATACAAGTATAATGGTCTTTCAATGGTGATAAACCATAATCCTTGCTCATGGACGTGAAGTAATTTCTCCCTTCTTCGACGAGCCCAGCATGGCTACAAGCAGAAAGAACACCAATCAAAGTCACATGGTCTGGTCTCTCCCTAGATACCAACATTTTTCTAAATAACGCAAGAGCCTCTGTCCCATAACCATTTTGAGCACATCCAACTATCATAGCATTCCACGAAACCCAATCCCTTTCCAACATATTTGTAAAGACATGGTATCCATCTTCAACAGATCCACATTTCATATACATGTCTATTAGAGAATTCCCTACAAAAATATCAGATTCTTCACCAGACTTAAACCGAAATCCGTGCTTCAGGACATGAGCATGAGCTTGTCTGCCAAGATACAGATCAGCAAGGTTTGCACAAGCATTCAGAAGATTTCCAAAAGTGTAATGTGTCGGGCAGACAGATTCCCTCTTTAGGAGGCAGAAGAGTCCAAGTGCCTCTTCATTGTCCCCATTCTGTATATATCCAGCGATAAGCGCATTCCAAGATACTATGTTTTTCTCTATCATTTTTGTGAACATTAATCTCGCAGTCCTCACACAAGCTACCTTTGCATACCCACTTACGATTGAGGTTTCAGACACCACACTCCAAATTGGCATTCTGTCAAAAACACTTCTAGCTTCATCAATTTTACTGCATTTGGCATACATATCGACCAATGCATTGCTTAAGACAAGATCATCCCTAAACTTGTCGTGTTTAACAACACGAGCATGAATTTCCCTACCTTCTTTTATTGCTAACAAGCTTGCACAAGCACTTACCACGCTGGCTAGTGTAACCTCATCTGGTTCAAACCCACAATCCATCATGCTCGAAAAAATCCGGAGAGCTTCACTTGCTGGGCCATTTTGCTCATAACATGTAACCAAACTATTCCAAGACACTAAGTTCCTTTCAATCATTCCATCAAAAGCTTTTTGAGCACAACTCACGCACCCACATTTCGAATACATGTCAATAAGAGCCGAGCCCATATAAACATCTGACGAGTACCGAGATTTCAATATCAAAGCATGGATTTGGCAACCCATTTGCAAATCCTTCAAACCAGCACAAGCGCTTAGGCTGCTACCAAATGAATACTCATTGCAGACAAAATCCTCTCTATGCATCCTATAAAAATAATACAAAGCATCATCAAATCTATCGTGCTGAGCAAAACCTGACACCATCGAATTCCATGTGCACTGATCACGCTCAGGCATTGACCTAAACATCCTTGCAGCCTCATCAAGAAAACCAGACTGCAATAACGCGGTTGTAATCGTGTTCCAAGAGAAAACATTCTTGTCAGACATTTTATCGAATACTCTCTGCGCATCCTCCAGAAAACCACATTTTGCATACACATCAATAAGCCTGTTCTGTATAAAGATCTCTGAGGAAAATTTGGATTTGATAATACGAGCGTGGACGCGACGAGTATCCCCCACAGACTTTGATCGCAGACAAGAATCCAAAAGCTTCGCAAACGGCGAGGAATCAGGATAGGAGAGAGCACCCACGATTTGTTTGAGCAGCACAGGCCTTGCCATTCCATTATCTTTGAAGAATCAGGCTTCATGGGCAGGCTTTGAAATAGCTTTTGATTGGTTTAAAAGAAAATGTCATCTGAAAAGGGAGTAAGGAAGAAGGAAAATGGAAGAGCAAACGTTGGCCTGGAGCCTCCATGGACGTGAATATAGAGTATTTTGAACTTCCCGTCCTTTTAAATTCTAAAGTCCCGCGTCTTTAAAATTTAGTTCTGAAAAAAAAATAATTTTATACGATATTCAATTTTTAAATAAAATAAAATGTATTAAAATTAAAATTAAAATAAATAAATAAAAATGTTATGAAAATAAATACAATAGTTAAACTAAGTATATATAATTTAATTAACATAAATAAATAAAATTTAAATTAAAAAATATTTATTATAGAAAGAAAATAGTAATAATCATATTATGAACTTAAAATAATATAATAAATTAATTGAAATATATATATATATATATAGATCATGTGTAGAAATTTTCTTAATAAAAATTTGTTAAAAATAAATTCTATAACAAAATACGATAATATGTTATAAATTTAAATAATAATAATAAATATAATAAAAAATAAGAACTAAGAGGTTTATTTAAATTGCCTACAAGAACAAAGAGGTTTTTCACTCTCCTCCTTTGCCATTAGAATGGCGAACTGATCCGGTCACAGGTCATGGTTATCAGCGACATCATCATAGCCATTGATCATTACTCATCTCTGATATCAAAATGCATCTCTACAAAAAACCTAAAGCTAGGTATTGTTCTTCACTCTCACCTCATCAAAACTGCACTCACCTCCAATCCCTTCATCGCCAATGCCCTCATCGCCGTGTACTCCAAATGCAATGCCATTGACGCTGCTCAAAAAGCATTTGATGATCTTCTCGTCAAGAACACTCATTCCTGGAACATTCTCATTTCAGGTTTCTTTGAAGAAGGCTTATTTCAAAAAGCACACAACATGTTTGATAAAATTCCTAAGCGAAGCATTGTTAGTTATAATTCCATGATTTCTGCTCTTTCTCGTTGTGGGTTTAACGAGAAATCAATAGGGGTTTTCAGAAGAATGCAAAAAGAGTACAACCACTTGTTTGTAGATAATTTCACGCTTGTAAGTATTGTGGGTGCTTGTGCTTCCTTGGGTGCATTAGAGTTGCTGCGTCAAGTTCATGGCGGAGTGATTGTTATTGGCTTGGAATTGAATTTAATAGCTTACAACGCTTTAATTGATGCTTATGGGAAATGTGGTGAATCCGATTCGGCATATGCTGCTTTCAATCAAATGAGTGAGAAGGATGTTGTTTCGTGGACTTCAATGGTTGTCGCTTTTGCTCGAGCATCCAGGTTGGATGCTGCCTGTGAGGTGTTTAATCAGATGCCTGTTAAGAATACTGTATCTTGGACTGCTCTAATTGCTGGTTTTGTGCAAAACAATTGTGGTGAGGAAAGCATGGATCTTTTTAAGCAGATGCTGGAAAAGGGGATTCGGCCTAATGCTTTTACTTTCGTTAATGTTCTAAGTGCTTGTGCCGATTTAGCACTAATAGAAAGAGGTAAACAGATACATGGGCACATGATTAGAAGTAGTGTGATAACTAATTGTTTTAACACGTTTACGGTTAATGCTTTGATTGACATGTACAGCAAGTGCGGAGACATGAAGGTGGCAAGAATGTTATTTGAGGGGATGAATGAAAAGGATATTGTTTCATGGAACACGTTCATAACAGGATTAGCACAAAATGGGCATGTAGAGGAGTCCCTCATTGTATTTAGAAAGATATTGGAAGCAAATATGAAGCCAAATCATGTTACATTTCTTGCAGTGTTATCTGCTTGTAGCCATACGGGTCTGCTTTCTGAGGGATTCCAAATCTTAGACATGATGAAAAAGAGTTATGGATTAAATCCGAGTTCAGATCACTATGCAATTGTGGTAGATTTGTTAGGGAGGAAGAATAGGCTTGAAGAAGCAATGGAGTTGATAGAGAGGGCACCTAAGGGATCGGATCATGTTGGGATGTGGGGTGCACTTCTTGCTGCTTGTAGGATTTACGGTAACTTGAATGTTGCTAGAAGAGCAGCAGAAGCTCTGTTTCAGCTAGAGCCTGACAAGGCTGCTAGATATGTTATGTTATCAAATATCTATGCATCAACAAGAAGGTGGGATGACTACCGAAAAGTGAGGAGGCTCATGGAGGAAAGGGATTTGAGGAAGGAAATAGCTTATAGTTGGATTGAGGTAAGGAATTCAAGGCATGAATTTGTAGCTAAAGACAAGAGCCATCATCAAGTAGAAGATATATATGAAGTTATTAGTAAGTTACTCGATGGCATGAAAGAAGCGGGGAATTCTGATTTTTCTCATGAAGATGACATATCATCTTGATCTAATTAATTAATGTTAATTACTGATACTTCTTTTCACACTTGTGAAATTTTTTTGGTCAATTATGTTTCTGAAAATATGTACTGTATAAATTGTGAATTTGATTTTTTTCTAATAATGAATTGTATATTATCATATCAAAAAATTTATCTCATTTAAAGTGAAGTGATGTAATTTGATATGTACAAGTTAGTATTTGAAAGTTCATTAGAAACAAGATAATCATATTTAAGTATTAAATTTAATTAGATTTATAAATATAATTTTTTATATTTAGTTCAAGTAAATAAAAACATAACCATAATATTTATATATTGATTTGTAAATAATTCTACTCTTATAGTTCTAAAAAATTCTTATATTTTTATATTATTTATAATTTTGAATAAAGTGGGTAAAAGGAATTGAATTAGAACTATAAAAAAAAAATTTCATAAAAAAATATCATTATAGAATTATAATGCTAATACCCTAATTACAAAAAAAAAATAGAACTAAAATAAAAATCTAAACAGAAAGTGTTTATTGACTCACAATAACAATAATAATATGCATTTTCTTTATTATTAATATTACTATAATTTTATTTTTTTTTTAAAAAAATAAATATATAAAAGAGAAGAAGAAAAAAAGGGGGGGGGGGGGGGGGTTGGTTATCACACCCATGAGTGCAAATAAAGTCTGACAGCTCGTCCCCATAAGGTTTAATAGCTTGGCGTTAAACGTTGCTGTTATATTTGCTTCGTTCTCACATCTATTTCAGTAAATATATATATATATATATATATATATATGTGTGTACGTACTTTTGTTTGAGATATATAAAGTTTGAGGTGATGAAGTTTTAAGTCAACGATAAGGACGGCAGGTTATTTTCAACTAAAATGAAATGCCATGGTATTAATTAGAAAGAACAAACAACTTACAAAGAAATAAAAAGGGAGACAGATAAACCACTCAGTTTTCCCCTTCTTAATGTTACGACCGAATGACTTAAAAATCTTATATTATAACCATGTCCAAACCACATCGATTAACTTCACCTCTTCGTCTGATTTAAAACAAAGAACCGGCGCCCTTTTGTAGTGTTTTAAACCTACCTCCTCACTCGGTCAAATAATTAGTTATAAGCCTACGTTATACTGGGAACGCAAAGTTATATTTTGTTAGTTCTTTTGCGTATTGATATTTTAATACACAAACACGACAAGTACATATTACTTTTGGCACAAATCTGAAAGTAAAATTCAGAGTGGAGCTGCGGGACGCGACAGTTGGAGAGAGCAGGAGGAGCCGCTTTTCTTTCTCTTAACTTGTAGTGCGCGACGGAAACGTACGTGGGTTGTTGAAAAATTCAAGTGACTTCGATTTCCGTCAGCCTCTGCTACCGCGGCATTCATTTTCAACACATCCAAACAAAACACTACACCCTATATATTATATTTTTTATCTGTTTAAGCAATTATAAAACTTGGGGATATACAGAAAATTTTGATACTAGAGATTTTTGGGGGTGAAATATTTGTTTAAATTTGTTAAATCTATTGTGATAGCTATTACTTAAATTATTTGAAGTATATAAAATAAATATATCATTGAATAAGCCCTTAAAGAATGTATCTAGGTTAATTAAAAAAATGGTAACCCCTCTCATTCATTATTCAGAAAATCTCAATTATAATCTAAGTTGGTCAGAAGTAACAATCTTATTAAATAAATCTCTAACATATGACGGGTCAATAAACGAGGGCTGGTAAAGAAAGAACAGGTGATTATTTCCATAAAGACTCAACTGCTCAGATCACATAAGCCATAAAAATATACCAGTGAAAAAGCACCCTCGAATATTATCCCATTTAATGTTCCAAGACACCAACTGGGATTCAAAATTCAAAATTCAAAATCTCAGGCCTTCACCATCTACCTTTAATGCTATCTTCAATATTCATCTAAAAATTTCATCAATTAATTCACTCTTTATTTTTTTAAAAAAAATTAAAAAGTGTCCATTCAAATTAAGGACTCCCCATTTGTTTATCATTCATAAATTCTTTAATACTCCATTTGATAAATTACGACGAGACCGTAAATAAAAACAGAAACCAGAATTTAAGAAATTTCAAATTGAAAATGCGGTTGCACGAGATTCATGTGCCTGCTTTATTTAATTCTATTTACATTCAAATTGTTTAGTTATCAAGTTCGCGTCCAACACATAATTAATATATAAACATTAAAATATCACCATACCCAAAATTTCTTCCTAACATGTTAATTTTTTTTTCTCTAGTTTAGTTAAAAGACAAGATCATTCACTTCAGAACTAAAAAAATTTACTAAGCAAATTCTTGCAGCCTCTCTAATAAATAAATAAATCCTAGACTTAATGTACTAATCGTTAATATGTCATTTTCTTCAAAGGGAGATTGTAATGTTACAAGATAAACCTATATGATCTGTTAATGTTATTTTAAACAAGATTTATACCATGCTTCGACCTAATGAAGATGCCGTATAGATACTCAATAATAGTAAAATTATAAATCCGTCATTAAAATATATATAGGAAAACACATTATTTAAAAGTTACATTTAATGATTCATGAATAATTTGATTGGGTATTTTATGGCTAATTAGAAGTAATAAGTTGGATAAATAATGATTGCCGACTACAATTTTAGTAATGATGCTAATGAAGAGGCTAGCACACCTTAAAATAAAAGAGAAAATATATCACAATAAAGATTGAGTTAACAATATTAATTGTTAGGACCAGTCTTTTGGGATTTACGTATTAGTATTTAAATATTATTAAAAAATGTAATATTTTTTTATAAATTATAATCAGAGAAAATGCCTTGGTAAAAAGTAAAAA